ATTCTAGCCCGGATGACGCCTTATCGATACCTATTTTATTCTGTAAATTAAGCGACAAACCTAAGTAGTTCTAGATTCCGTTTTTTATAGAACATCGGCATCCTTTCCTATCCTTTGAGTCAGTTGGGTGGTCTGGTGGGTAAAGCGTTCGCTCGTCACGCCGAAGGCTCGGGTTTGATTCCCCACATATGTACAATGTGTAAACCCCATTTCTGGTGTCCCCCGCCGTGATATTGCTAGAATAGTGTTAGAATATTGCTAAAACGGCGTAAAACCATACTCACTCACTCACATTTGAGTAGTAACCTTCTTATTCGTATGTATCTATATTATATGTACCCATTAAAGGTGTTCGACGTGTGATGGATGGTTCGTTGTTAAAAGTGGGCACAATATCACTTATTATACTTATATTTGTTAACATGCTTTGAAACTATTTACCTTAAATATGTAATGACCACACATTTAGAAATGCCCCGTGCCTTACCATACCTCGGTGCGAACGTTAAAAGTTACATGAGATGACTGTGTGTGATCTTGAATAGTCATATCATAAACTGACAGGCTAAAAATAGTCTCCACCCATGTTTGAGGGTGACTAAATTAAAAGTGAAATACACAGGAAATGGTTTGTCGATGGTGAAGTATTAGATGTAGGCTTCATTGATGGGTTTTGGACTCCAAGCTTGCAATGTTCCAGCCCATAGTCACGTTTTGATAACGTATAATTGTATTGGTCTAAAACAATTTTAGGTATACTCTCTTTTGCGCGGTAGTTTAACTCCAACGTTGAAGAGTGCACTGCCTACCCCACAGTGTTCACAACACTGGCACACAATCCTCACGCGTTTTGTGAAGAGTGAGACCCGGCCAGGAGATGCTATCATACAACCTTTTGCGTGAGAACAGAACACCGAGTACAGAACATTCAACTGGGAACAGTCGATACAGAACGTAATGGCCGACATGCTTCTCACTTTACACACAGGACATTCACATCATTGGGGACGCATGTTCACAGTTCAGTTGCCTTGATGGGTTTGTCCCCGATACCCTAGCTTTACGCGAAGCGCTGTGCTCATGACAAAGATACAGCCCTTTCTGTTAGGGGATTTACTTTTCCTCGTTCTGTGTAGTTTTGTATCTCGTCTTTGTATTTGTTCTATAGAACTCATACATAAACGTCTCCGTTATCCTGGTAGATCGTATTTTTTTTAAATTATGTAAAATTACATTCTGTTGTTAGGTATAATAGATGCGCGTTGCCTAGACAGATTGTGATGAGGTACATTGTCATATCGGACGTGAATACAACATTCGTGGAACGGGCTTCATATTGTTTCAGCTGCATCATACACCCCAACACAGGGTGGTACTTAATCTACAGGAGGGTGCATAGTCTACAGGCTGTACTTAATCTACAGGAGGGTGCATAGTCTACAGGCTGTACTTAATCTACAGGAGGGTACATAGTCTACAGGCTGTACTTAATCTAGCGGAGGGTACATAGTCTACAGGCTGTACTTAATCTACAGGAGGGTGCATAGTCTACAGGCTGTACTTAATCTACAGGAGGGTACATAGTCTACAGGCTGTACTTAATCTACAGGAGGGTACATAGTCTACAGGCTGTACTTAATCTACAGGAGGGTACATAGTCTACAGGCTGTACTTAATCTACAGGAGGGTACATAGTCTACAGGCTGTACTTAATCTACAGGAGGGTGCATAGTCTACAGGCTGTACTTAATCTACAGGAGGGTACATAGTCTACAGGCTGTACTTAATCTACAGGAGGGTACATAGTCTACAGGCTGTACTTAATCTACAGGAGGGTACATAGTCTACAGGCTGTACTTAATCTACAGGAGGGTACATAGTCTACAGGCTGTACTTAATCTACAGGAGGGTACATAGTCTACAGGCTGTACTTAATCTACAGGAGGGTACATAGTCTACAGGCTGTACTTAATCTACAGGAGGGTACATAGTCTACAGGCTGTACTTAATCTACAGGAGGGTACATAGTCTTCAGGCTGTACTTAATCTACAGGATGGTACATAGTCTACAGGCTGTACTTAATCTACAGGAGGGTACATAGTCTACAGGCTGTACTTAATCTACAGGAGGGTACATAGTCTACAGGCTGTACTTAATCTACAGGAGGGTACATAGTCTACAGGCTGTACTTAATCTACAGGAGGGTACATAGTCTACAGGCTGTACTTAATCTACAGGAGAGTACATAGTCTACAGGCTGTACTTAATCTAGCGGAGGGCACATAGTCTACAGGCTGTACTTAATCTACAGGAGGGTATATAGTCTACAGGGTGGTACTTAATCTACAGGATGGCACATAGTCCACAGGATGGTACATAATCAAGGGTGTTACATAATCTACAAGAAACTGCCCTGGCTGGAACTGAACTGAATGTACAGGACTGCACTGACAGTGTGACACTGAACTGACTGTACGGGACTGTACTGACAGTGTGACACTGTACTGAATGTACGGGGCTGTACTGACAGTGTGACACTGTACTGACTGTACGGGACTGTACTGACAGTGTGACACTGTACTGACTGCAGGACTGTACTGACAGTGTGACACTGTACTGAATGTACGGGACTGCACTGACAGTGTGACACTGTACTGAATGTACGGGACTGTACTGACAGTGTGACACTGTACTGAATGTACGGGATTGTACTGAAAGTGTGACACTGTACTGAATGTACGGGACTGTACTGACAGTGTGACACTGTACTGAATGTACGGGACTGTACTGACAGTGTGACACTGTACTGAATGTACGGGATTGTACTGAAAGTGTGACACTGAACTGAATGTACGGGACTGTACTGATAGTGTGACACTGAACTGACTGTACGGGACTGTACTGACAGTGTGACACTGTACTGACTGTACGGGACTGTACTGACAGTTGTGACACTACTGAATGTACGGGACTGTACTGACAGTGTAACACTGTACTGACTGTACGGGGCTGTAATGACAGTGTGACATTGTACTGACTGTACTGACAGTGTGACACTGTACTGACTGTACGGGACTGTACTGACAGTGTGACGCTGTACTGAGGATACGGGGCTTTACTGACAGTGTGACACTGTACTGAATGTGCGGGGCTGTACTGACAGTGTGACACTGTACTGAATGCAGGACTGTACTGACAGTGTGACACTGTACTGAATGTACGGGACTGTACTGACAGTCTGACACTGTACTGACTGTACGGGACTGTACTGACAGTGTGACACTGTACTGAATGTACGGGGCTGTACTGACAGTGTGACACTGTACTGAGGATATGGGGCTGTACTGACAGTGTGACACTGTACTGACTGTACGGGACTGTACTGACTGTGTGACACTGTACTGACAGTATGACACTGTACTGAATGTACGGGATTGTACTGACAGTGTGACACTGTACTGAATGTTCTGACAGTGTGACAATGTACTGACTGTACGGGACTGTACTGACAGTGTGACACTGTACTGACTGTACTGACAGTGTGACACTGTACTGAATGTACGGGATTGTACTGACAGTGTGACACTGTACTGACTGTACTGACAGTGTGACACTGTACTGAATGTACGGGATTGTACTGACAGTGTGACACTGTACTGAATGTACGGGATTGTACTAACAGTGTGACACTGTACTGAATGTACTGACAGTGTGACACTGTACTGACTGTACTGACAGTGTGACACTGTACTGAATGTACGGAACTGTACTGACAGTGTGACACTGTACTGACTTTACTGACAGTGTGACACTGTACTGAATGTACGGGATTGTACTGACAGTGTGACACTGTACTGAATGTACGGGATTGTACTGACAGTGTGACACTGTACTGAATGTACGGAACTGTACTGACAGTGTGACACTGTACTGACTTTACTGACAGTGTGACACTGTACTGAATGTACGGGATTGTACTGACAGTGTGACACTGTACTGAATGTACGGGATTGTACTGACAGTGTGACACTGTACTGAATGGACGGGATTGTACTGACAGTGTGACACTGTACTGAATGTACGGGATTGTACTGACAGTGTGACACTGTACTGACTGTACTGACAGTGTGACACTGTACTGACTGTACGGGACTGTACTGACAGCGCGGAACTGTACGGGACTGTTTGGGACCACCCCTACATACACCCGCGATCCCACACAACACTCGAATTGACATGATATACAATACCATGACTCATCTCAACAGTGTACAAAGCAGTAGCATTAAGAATGAAACAGATACTGGTGTAAACGGCTTATCCCTCGACTAACTATATCAACATGCCTCGGGCACAACGCTTACCTTAGGAGGAGATACATATCAGTCTAGGTGTGTGCACCTGAGCTGCGATACAGGTCAAGCGGTGTCGCGACTCTGGCCGTAAACAACATTAATAACAAACTTGACATCGGTGGTGTGAACGTACAACCACTGGTTCTACCGGCCAACGTGAGAGTGTCCTACATAGTTGCAGACCTACATAGTTGCAGCTTAGAGCAGGGATACTGCTGACTGGAGATTAACAAAACAATATGTGTAAATAAACACGCAATACCGCAGAGTGAGCCTTTCGGCTACTGATGTATGTAGGTAAATGTTGGTATGTGTGTGTGACACAGAAAGCGACAGAGAGAGAGAGAGAGGGAGAGAGAGAGAGAGAGAGAGAGAGAGGGGGGGGGGGGGATTATGACCTGTGTAGGTATTAATGTAACACTATACATGACACTAACAGGGGATACATATTACGAAATAACTTCGATGTATTATAACCATGTTTCACGGCCATAATATAAGCACAGTCGTGTGAGCACATCTCGTAACGTTATAGGTACGTAGATTTTCATGAGACCATGTAAGCATGTATACCCAGAAGTACCTAAAGTAACAGCGAACACTACCACCAACATGACAAACACCTTGTAAAAAGTGGCACCTACCTACAACGCTAGAATCCAGATGTAGTTCAAAGCCAGTGTCCTGTCTATCCTGTCCAGTTATAAGTGGACACAAGACCCGTTGTCCACACCTGGGCACGCCTACAGAGAGCTGCGTGACGCGGACAATGACATTCCAGCGTCGACTGATTCAAGGCTGAGAGTGTCTCATCTGTCAACTCGAGGACGTAATTTACAAACGCCCTGAACCGTGCAGTGAGCAAGCAGCCGCCATTATCTCACGCACTGGGTAGATAGATACCCGACATCGATTTAGTGGAATTACGTTCAGGGGCCGTGTCAAAAGTATCCCGGGGAGCGCAATAATTGAGTTAATGGGTTTGTGAATTAAGGTGCTGTGATGAGTGATGAGAGAATTATTGCTGGTCACTTGGAGATAGCATCTTAAATAGTGTGTTGTGTGTTTGTTAGGTTTTATAACTTGAGTGAAAGGGCTAATGTGTACATGTCACGTCGCACGGGAAATATTTCAGCCATGTAGCGCGGGTAACAGGTTTCATAATGTGTGTTTGTTTGTGACCTGCCCGTTGATGTTTTGGAAAGTGACGGAGGGGGAGGAAGGTATTTTTTAAAGAGACCAAATAGAACCCTTTTCTTTTTTTCAGAAAAACAAGTCTTCAGGTCGCACGGCCACACATGCCAGATTTGGTTTGTTTGTTTCCTTGTTTGTTTGTTGTTTAACGCCGCACTCAGCAATATTCCAGCTATATGACGGCGGTCTGTAAATAATCAAGTCTGGACCAGACAATCCAGTGATCGACATCATGAACATCGATACACGCAATTGGGATCGATGGCATGTATCAACCAAGTCAGCGAGCCTAACCACCCGATCCCGTTAGTCGCCTTTTACGACAAGTATAGTCGCCTTTTACGGCAAGCATGGGTTGCTGAAGACCAATTCTACACCGGAATCTTCACGGGTCCCAGATTTGGTGTTCAAATGTTATCATTAAACTGAAATAACAACAGAGATCATTTTATTTTGTCACAGTCCTCACCAGTTGAAATAAATTCACGAAATATCGCGAAGTTTAATTAACGAAGATAGCTGCGTGTGTTATTAAACTTATGAAGTGAAAACAAGCCATTCCGCCCCCACGGAATATTACAAAAATATGACAAAAATTACCAAAAGCGCTTTTCAAGAAATGTCCATTTTTTTGCGAAAAACATCATCATTGAACTTTGATCACGTGGTTATCATCCGATTGAGGATCAGTTGGATGACCGCGAGCGGCTATATTTAACAGTGTGTGCAGCTTACGGACATTACCAGCACGAACTGAGAGAACAACACGTGCAGATGTACTATTTAAAGCGCTATTGACCTAGGTCACTGCAAAATATAACAGCTCGCAGTCACCTCTCGACTCTCACCAAGAATTTGACGGCACGTGATCCCAACTCAATGATGATTGTGAAATGTTTCCAAACTTCACGTCAGTTACAGACAAGTTTAACTATGCTGAAACAGTTTTTGTGGAGTATTTGTAAAACATCGCTTCTCACGGTATCTGAGAAGACCCTCCCACCGTGTGAATTCTAAGCTCTGTTTTCTCATCCGGGTACATTCCATTGTCCTGCCACCGCTCGTGAGTCATTCATGCGTGAGTTTGAATTAAAGTATATAAATTTGAAGCACATATTCATTTCCATGCGGGAATCCTGTTATAATTTAGGACAAACACGTTCGACATCAGTGACTGGTGAGAAATGCCCTCAGCTGTTTGTACAGTGTGTTCGGGTGATTAAGCAAGCGTTTAACTGACAAAACATATTTGCGCGGTTTTTTTTTAATTTGGGGAAAATACCTTCGCTGATCATTTCGACCACACCTATGCGAGAGAGAGAGAGAGAGAGAGAGAGAGAGAGAGACATATCACTGGTGTGTTGAACATAATACAACTTAATCGTTGAAATAATGACTGTTTTTACATGTGCGCCTTCGATTCGATTTTATGTATCATTTACAGAGCACTTCATTTCTGCTTGGCTTAAAATAGAGAATGTCACCCTCATGTCTTTTGACATCAAATATATCAACACGAGTTGATAAAAGTGGAAAAACTCCGAGGCCTGCCGAGACATGAGAGTAAGATTTTATTTATCATCCAACATGATTCTTCCAACTTTTTCAGTTTTTAAGGACAGACAGACAGACAGACAGACAGACAAATTTATTCGGTACTTCAGGCCACCGGCGCATAATACAATGGAAACATACTGTATATATATTTGCATGCTGAGTAGATTTAATAATGAGTTGCCGTTCCACACTGTTTCCTTTCGATGTCCATGACTTGGGAGAGAAATTTACCTAAGCTTTTAATAATTTGTTCGTTTCGAGCTGACATAAGTCTTATAAAATTCTCAAGAGAGGGAGGGGTAACGAGACGCTTGGGAAAAGAGTTTCTTCTTGCTTTAGAATACTGGTCACAAATCATAAGAACATGGAATTCATCTCCAACATGGTTATGTCCTTTCGAAAAACAGAAAGTGCAGACACGTTCATTATGTCGGATGTTGTTGTGACGCCCCAGTTCAACAGCAAGTCTGAAATTATTACACCGGAACATGGCTATAAGTCTACGTAGGTAAGAAGACATATCACAAGTAATATATGATTCCACATTTAGTAATGACTTGAACTGTGAGTAGTAATTGCATTTCGTTGATGATGTCAGGGAAAAGTGCCAATATTGAGTGAGGCAGTCGTAAAATCTTCGTTTAAAAACTGTCATGAAATGTTGAATATTACCAATGTCTTGGCTTAGCCAAACAAAACCAAATCCAAACTGGAATAAAATCATTCTAATATGTGAGGCCCATATGCATGTAATTTTACCAGTATCATCAAGAGATTTTGGTATATAATAAGTTTGGATGGGTAGCCTGTGTTGTTCCATCTGAATTAGTCTGCACCAGTACTTGACTGCTCTTGACACGTACTGTAGGGGGATCCTACCACAGTCTCCTAGAGCCATGTTGTTATTTGTGAACTTATTTACTTTCAAAAACGATTTGCAGAATCTGTTATGGACACTCTCAATAATGTTACAGTAGCTGGTTCCCCAGATCTCTGATCCATTACATAGGATTGGTGAAATCATAGCATCAAAAATATTAAAAAGATCATGGTGATCAATGTATCCAAATTGTTTTTGATAATTACATATTGATAGAAGTGCTTTCCTTGCCTGGGCTACTAGACATGCTTGGGCCTTAGTCCAAGATAACTTTGGTGAGAAAATAATTCCACAAATATCTGTACATGTGGACAGCTTCTATCTGTTGTCCATTCAAAAACCTCTTTTCATAAATGCGAAAGGGACCTCCATTCCGAAATACTATTATTTTAGTCTTATTCAGATTGACTTTCATGCCAGTATCATCACAGAATTTCTCCAGGGTCTTTATTTTCTTTTGAAGCTGTAAAGCAGTATCAGAGACGGTTGACACATCATCAGCAAATAACAGAGCAAATACATCAGGGAGATGAGTAGATATAAACACACCTCTACCACCTTCTTCCTCCAACATTGAACCTAACAGATTAATAAATATGATGAAGATCTTAGGGCTTAAGATACACCCCTGACGAGGACCCATGGTCCACTTGACGTATAGCGATAGTCCAGAATCAATTCTCACACATGTACATAGTGTTGAATACATCTGAATTATAAACTTGAGAAATTTACCTTTAACTCCCAGTTGAAGGAATCTGTTAAATAACATTTTGTGGTTCACCCTGTCAAAAGCTTTTGAAAAGTCTATTAAAAGACAATAAAACATCCCTTTTTTGATAACTATTTGTTGACCATAGCTTGTAGGGTAAATATCTGGTCAATAGTGGAATATTTTTTTCTGAAGCCAGCTTGAAATTCAGATATAATATTGTTATCACACAAATGTTGAAGTCTGTTGTTAACTACTGTTGTAAGAACTTTACACAATGATTTATCAAGGAGATGCCTCTGTAATTATTTGGGCCTGAGAAGCTGCCTGATTTGTGTAGGGGACAAATAATACTCTTGCCCCAGCTACTAGGAAATATACCACTGTCATAAAGTTTACTGAATAGTTTTGTTAATAATGGTGAGATATAGTTCTTAGTTGCGTTAACTATGCCATCAGGGCAAGGAGATTTGCTTGTTTTGAGCAATTTCAAACTTGCATTAATTTTCTCTTGTGCAAAAGGGTTAATAATTCACATAAATAGTCCCTGTCATCTGCATCTGTGTATTCCCATATTGGGTCACTGTAATCATAGCTGCAGTCAGAATTACAGTTCAACAGGTTATTAAAATGTTCAAACCACTGTTCTGCTGTCATGTTTGAAAGAATCTTGTGATTTACTCTGCAGGATTTTAATACTTTCCAAAAAGATTTTGAATCATGTCTGGATGCACTGAGATGTTCCTCTGTTTGTGGCCATAATCTTCCTTTTTCAAATAAAATGTTTCTTTATATTTCCTTTTACATCATATATATATATATCCTGTCCATATTTCCTATGGAGCCTTAGAGCTGTATATTTCTTTTGTTTAAATACTTCCAGCTGATCATCCCACCAAGGTGGCTGTGGCGATATGTCAGTTAGCTTACTACCTTTGTACACTTTTTTTAAACTCTTCTGCAACACTATGGTAAAGGTCTGTTAAAGTATCTACACTGTCTGCTACATTTTCTTCAATCTGTTTGTAGATACTGTCAAGACGACTTATGGGGTCAATGTTAGCCTCAGCAGGGGGGTTTTCAGGCGAGATATAATCAAATATTAAAACTGAATCTTTTTGTAATCCAAAATAACTTGTTTGAAAGTGCAGCACAACACAATCGATAAATGAATGACATATTCGACGAATAAGATTGTTCTTGAAGAAATTATCTTTCACCAATACGGTTACACCACCACAGTAACGGCCACGTTGTTTATGGTTAGGTCGACAAAAGTTAAATGATTGAAATATGGACAATAGATCGTCAAAGTCTTCTTCCTGCTAAACAAACGACTCACAGAAACTAATAATGTCGTATCTACAGCAGAACTGTTTAAAAACACTAACTGAAGAGCATGGGCGGATACAGATTTTTTGGAAGGTGTGTGTGTGTGTGTGTGTGTGTGGGGGGGGGGGGGGGGGGGAGGCGGAGGGGGGTGCACAATTAAGATCTATTTATTGTCTTTGGTGGTAATTTATACAGAAATAAAGATTTT